AGGCGGATGACAGGTAATACGAATACCCGTCACGACCCCTACCGATTGACCTGACCTGACCTGACCCGACCTGGTCTAAACGCTTAACGACATCATCTGTGATCAAAACTAACACGATATTCGTGATCAGCACCCCGGAAAACCTCTTAGTAGCCATACTTTACGACTTTCTAACAGGTCCCGCTTTTCCCGATTTTCGGGTCATTGATCTGACGTGGAAGGTCACCCGATGACCTAGGACCTTAAAATTGGGTATCATTGGCTTCCTCTTGTGACGTGCAACACGGTCGTTTTTTCCGCGAAGCTCTAGCTCCATCAGGGGCCAAACGCGAGGGGGGGGGGTCGTACCAACAAAGTACGACCCCCCCCGTACAAAGTATGACCTGACCCTTGTGCCGTCCAATGACAAAAAAAGAAAAGAAAATGGGCTGTACCGGCGAGGGTTAAAAAGTCAAGCATTTTACAAATAGGTAAGAGGGGTGGGCGTTTTACCCGCCCTGGGCGCTTTGCCCCACTCTACCCTAGATGCATGTCCCGATATGCGTAAGATATTCATAGCCAATCAAAAGTCATGTTTTGGAGCCAGAAAAACGAGCCGGAATAAGTGAATCAATATTATGTATAAGGCTCCCCTCGCATTCATGACGGAGAAAGAGAGGTCGGATGGACGCTCGGGTCGAACAGCTTGGGGTAGGCTCAAACAGACCATAGAAATAAAGACCATTCTATAGGTACGCTAGCGGCTGGGAAAAACGCAAATGTGGGAGAATTGGTGCTTCAGGGTTCCATGAACGATGGGTCCTGTTTCGGTCCCCATTTTCCTGCGTAGAATGTAGACGGGCATAGGCTATGTAGTATGTACCATGTACTAAATAATGTAAACGAGCTAAGATCGGGTCAGGATGCATGTAACACATAGGCGGCGGAACGGGGAGGGCACTGGGGAGTGGGGCACCGTGCCATCTTTGATTTTGACATTTTAACGTTAGCCCTATGGGCGTTGCATGGAAAGAATGGGACCAAAAGTCGACAGTGCCCCCCTTTAATTGAAGGTGTTCCGCCGCTTCTGATGTAAGATCAAGTGTTTGGGGATTTGAGGATTCAACGATTTGAGGGAACCCTAGGCTGGCTATAGTGTTGGGGTGAGCCCTTCCGTAAAACTTGCTTAGAGCACGCTTAACCCGCGCCCCGCTGGGCTATTCAGCCATACGCGCCCTGCTGGGGGGGGGGGGGGGAGGCAGATTCTGCCACCCCCTGTCTAACTTCCGAACCGATGGTCGTAGAAAGACGGGAAAAACGGCAATCGAAAGCTCTCAACAAGGCGGATCTTAACCCGCGACCTGGTGGGGGGGGGGGAGCTATTTTTTGCCCCCCTCCAGACTTTTCGATATATCTCCAGAACCGCTGCGCCGATCGTCACCAAACTTTCAGTACCCTCCCGGACATCAATTTTACACATTGTGACCAAAAACTTTTCCAAAGGCTATGATAGGTTGGCCGGAAATGACGTCAGAGTGACGTCATCTTCTGCCGTTTTCGACCCAAAAAAGGGTTTCGCGGGAAGAGCTGTCAGGCCTATAGCTTTGCCAATGCAGAAAAATGATAAGGACATAAAAGCTGTAGAATGGACAGGGCTACAAAACTGCTATCTCGGATTTTTGAAATTTTTGGATTTTGACCCCAAAAAATCAAAAAAATATTTTTTTTTGATATAATAATCGAAAAATCCAAAAAGTTTTTTGAATTCCGCAAAAACCGGAATATATGTGATAGTCCTTACCGCCTTCCATCCACATACCAAATTTGAGATTGATACCTCTTTTTTTGGCGAAGTTATAGCGAAAAAAAATGTTCAAAATTGATGACGTCGTGACGAGCTGCATCGAATCAATACCCATTTTATGCAAAAATATCAACTTTAAAATTTGACCTTTTTTTGCCTGACCTTGACCTGACCTTGACCTGCACTTCACCAGAAAGTGACCTAAGCCGTACCTGATAGTCTTATAACCAGCACCATTGAGTTGGAAATGAAAAATTGGCCATAAAACATGCATCACACAACCTTAGTAAAGTTGGGCTCATGTGACCTGACCTGTGACCCTTGGTGACCTGACCTGTGACCTGGCCTGGTATTGTCAGTGACCTCTAATAGCAATATATCTACTAGGTAACTGACGCCCTATCGCTGATTCTCGACAAAATGCGTTTTCCTCGGTGTTATAGCGCATTCCCTAGAAGACCCGTGAACGGTGAAACATTTCATCTTTGACCTGACCTGTGACGTCATCGGTGACCCTGAGGTCAATGAAATTTGGTTTTCTTCGACAAATTTGACAGGCCTTTCGAATGCCGTTTGAATTTTGCGGATCCGTCCAGTAGTTTCGGAGATACGAGGGGGGGGGGGGCAAAAAATAGCCCCCCCCCACCAGGTCGCGTTATAAACAGACCCCACCAGGGCGCGGGTTAAGAGCCCAATTTTTTTGCTTAAGTAGGTCAGAGGTCAGGTCAAGGTCAGGTCAAGGGTACAAAATGCAAGTTTCTACAGTATCGGCCTTGCACCGTAGTTGCCGAAGAATGGACTGCGACTGATTGCCCAAAACGTGTTCTTAGACTACCAAGACAATATTCGTTGCATACAATGTCATTCAAAGGTCAAGGTCAAGGTCAGGTCAGGTCAGGTCAGGTCACCAAAAACAAAATATAGAAAAGGGCATATGCGACACATGTTTTATGGGTCATGTTACTCATAGAATTCAATAGGCACACTCAATAGGTGATATGGACCACCTCTGGATGAAATTCAGGTCGAGGTCAGGTCAAGGTCAGGTCAAGTAAGGTCAAATTTTGAAGTTGGTTGTTAAGGCCTAAGAAGGTATCTAACTGATGCAGCTTTTCACGGCGAATCGAATGGTGCTATTTTTGTTTCCGTACGAGGTCTAGAACTTCCAAAAAATCATTTTTAAAAATTTTGTGTGTGTCGTGACGTCATAAAATTTTGAATAACTCCCACATTTTTGAACCGATTCTTCTAAAAATTGGTATGTAGGTGCACATGGACCACCTCTCTGACATATATTCCTTTTTTTATACACTCAAAATTTTGGATTTTATAAATATTTTTCCAAAAAAGTCAGTTTTTTGAAAAATTTGGGCCAAAATCCAAAATTTTCAAAAAACCGAGATAGCCATTTGATAGACAAAGTAGAATCACGTATACCTAACCTTTTTTTGTTACGTCTTGATTCCTTTAAAAATGAAGATGTTAGCGGCGTTTGAAATTTTGCCGTTTAACCCGCGCGGGGCTGGGGTCTCCAGCCGAACGCGCGGGGCTGGGGGGGGTAAATTTTACCCCCCTGTTATCTCCCGAACTAATGGTCCGATTTGGAAAATTCAAACGCCAATCGAAAGATCTCATCACGAACAACTAAAAACATGTACTTAATTTAAAGTTTGAGGTCAAGGTCAAGGTCAGGTCAAGGGTACAAATTGCAAGTTTCTACAGTATCGGTCTTGCACCGTAGTTGCCGAAGAATGGAGTCATCGACTGAGACTGATTGCCCAAAACGTGTTCTTAGGCTACCAAGACAATATGCGTTGCATACAATATCATTCAGAGGTCAAGGTCAAGGTCAGGTCAGGTCAGGTCAGGTCACCAAAAAACAAAATATAGAAAAGGGCATGTGCGACACATGTTTTATGGGTCATTTTACTCAAAGAATTCAATAGGCACACTCAATAAGTGATATGGACCACCTCTGGATGAATTTCAGGTCGAGGTCAGGTCAAGGTCAGGTCAAGTGAGGTCAAATTTTGAAGTTGGTTCTTAAGGCCTAAAAAGGTGTCTATCTGATGCAGTTTTTCATGGCGAATCGAATGGTGCTATTTTTGTGTCCGTACGAGGTCTAGAACTTCCAAAAAATTCATTTTTCGAAACTTTTGTGTGTCGTGACGTCATAAAATTTTGAATAACTCCCACATTTTTGAACCGATTCTTCTAAAAATTGGTATGTAGGTGGCAGGTGCACATATACCACTTCTCTGACATATATTCCATTTTTTTTTCGATACACTCAAAATTTTGGATTTTATAACTATTTTCCCAAAAAAGTCAGTTTTTTGAAAAAATTTGGGCCAAAATCCAAAATTTTCAAAAAACCGGGACAGCCATTTGATAGACAAAGTAGAATGACGTATAACCTTTTTTGTTACGTCTTGATTCCTTTAAAAATGAAGATGTTAGCGGCGTTTGAAGTTTTGCCGTTTATGAGGCGAAAATGGCGAACATGACGTCACTAAAACGTCAATTTCTCAAAAAAAAAATTCCGACGGATTTCGTTCAAATTTGCAGGGAACGTGTCAAATTGATGTAAGAAAAGGTACTAAAAGTTTGGCGGCGCTGTGCGCCGCTGTTTTTGAGATATTGCAAAAAATTCGCGAGGGGGGTAAAATTTACCCCCCCCCCCCAGCCCCGTGCGGCTTAAGCGAAAATGGCGGACATGACGTCACTAAAACGTCAATTTCTCAAAAATTTTCTGTGACGGATTTCGCTCAAATTTTCAGGGAACGTGTCAAATTGATGGATGATAAGGTACTGAAAGTTTGACGTCGCTGGCGTAACGCGTTTAGAAGTTATTGGCGAAAAACGGGAGGGGGGCAGATTCTGCCCCCTCCCCAGCGGGTTAGAGGAGGCCCTGGGCAAGATTCCTTGCCCTGGGCCCTGGTGAATGCTCAACATTACTGCACAAACTGAAAGCGTCAATGAAAGGAAAAACTTTAATAAAAGGCACCAAATCCTAATATGGTATCTCTCAAATGTTTCAAAAAATACGCAGCAGTGACAAGCTTCAGCTGATAGATTCTGTTCGAAAACCCGAAGCGAGCAGCAATGCCCTATGCGAGCAGTAGCGAGAGGTTATATCAGAGTAGATTGTTAGGAGACTAAACAGTATTATGCGTGTTTCAATTTATGCTTGAAAATATTTTTGAATGTTTTTTTTACCCTTATGCCTTTGCTTTCGTCTCCAGCTGGAATAACCAGGGCCATTTATCTATGAGCAGGGGCCATGCTAGTTTCCGGGCCCCGGCGACAACCTATATAGAACACTCTTGCTATCGATCGTGGCAACGTTTTCGGCGAAAGACTATTGCACATTGCACAGTCTCCTTTGCGCGCTTGGGGTTTCAGGTTTGAAAATTGGATTTTTTTGGAAAGTTTGGCAGACCGAAATTTTTTGGATTGATTGGTTTCTGAAATTGGAAAGTTTTAGAGGTGTTCCGAGTAGCAAGTGCTGTCGGCGTTGCAAGCATTTTAAGGTATATGTCCAGGTCTTTCCGTCCCAGTCCTTGCACTTATTGTTATGCTTGTTTAAATTCTTTCTTGTTCTAGGATGCTCATTTTTTCTCAAAATAAAAATGCTTTGAACTGGTCAGTGGTCATGCTACCTTCTCTTCACCTGTCTTCAGCTACCCTTGCTAAATACTTGCATATGATTTTGGAAATTTATACTCTAAATCATGAATCACATGTAATTGCATATATTAGTACAGTCTACTTGAAACAATTCAATATCTTATCTTTTGTCTTTTTAGAAAAGATTAAGATCAAATTTGAGAAAAGTGATACCTATTTTTGAACTATATTCTATATAAACTATTGTTTGACACGGAAGCCTCAAACCCGTTGACCAATCATATTGCTAATTGCATAGTACAAACCTATTGGCTGTAAGCAGCAGCATGCTGATTGGCTGATGATGACGGCTGCATTCCTCAGCAAGGCACGCATTCCTCTGCAAGGCGCTCTTTTTGGAACGAGAAATGGAATATCATCCATTTCTCATCCATTTTCTTTTGCCTGTCCCGTAGCTCAGTTGGTAGAGCATTGGACTCCCGGTAGTGAGAGCCCGGGTTCGAGACGCTCTGGCGCTCGACATTTGAGACTCCTGACGGGGATGGTCTGCGACTCTGCGGTTGGTGGGAGCAGCCACAGCCAGTTGAAGTCAGTTGAGTGGGACAGGCCGTGTCCGGCTTTGAAGGGCACGTTAAGCTTTGGCATCTAAATTCTCCCGTTACCCGAAATTGAAATTGCGCGATTGGACGGTAGGGGTCGGGGTCTACGCAACAAGCTCTGCTTAGCGTGGGCTCGGGCTCTGTCAATGCGCCCATTCAAACATTCGAGCTAAATTTATAAAAAAAATCATCATCTAAGGTGATCATTGGTCAGTAAAAGCTTCTGATTTGTGCTAGTCTTAGCTCAAGCTACAAAATTTTATTCCAGTTCAAAACCTCATATTAAAAGTGAACTATTTCCTGTAGTTCTTCCTATGTTGAAATATATTTTTGTTTATAAAAAAGTTTTATTTTATTTGCTGATCATTTTGAGCATAAATCATACCTAAATCCATTGCAAAGAACTAATTTCAGGAAAGTGAACTATTTCCTTTAACAACACTGGAAAAGTAAACAACAGCACTGACAAGACTGGGTTATATTTGTGATTCAGATATCAAGTATCAACTATGATTCACCACTAGAATATGAAATCTAAGTCACACAAGTGATACCTTGTGATAGTGTGCGTCATATTCACACTATCATAACTGTAAGATAGTGTGCGTCATATTCACATAATTTTGAGCACATCATTCACCAGCCAATCCCAATGTGTGCTGACCACTAACTAGTTTCCAAATAATTATTTTTGGAAAATGTCTGGTGTTCTCAAAACACTTGAACAGAAGGATGTTTGCTGGCACAGGCACAGGGGGGGGGGGTGATGCAACTCCCCCTAAGGGTTTTCGCGAATAACTCGCGTAAAATGCGGCCGATCGCGACGAAACCTTCAGTACCTTTGCATTGATCAATTTTACACCTACCCTGAAAATTTCATGACCCTGACCCCAATGACCTTTGACCTGTGACCTCTTTTCCGTGACCATGTTTGGCCGAAATCGCGATTCAGCGTATGTCGGCTCGCATTAACCGCGCGTTTGCAAACTTTTCGTGGTTTGAAACGTTCAAACATGTGATTTGATGCTGCTCCCATGCATTAGGGTGGGTGTCAAGGTCACCTGAAGGTCAGGTCAGGTCATTGACCTTTGGTGACCTCGGCTCACTTTTTCGAGTTTTACATGTTTCTAGGCTAGTTTTTGGAGCTGAATTCGAATTTAGCAACCATTTGAACATTTACGAAGTAGTTTTGGTGCCTTCGTAACATCATGGTAACATGTTACGAAGCTGTCAGAGGCGGATGACAGGTACTACGAATACCCGTCACGACCCCTACCCGTTGACCTGACCTAACCTGACCCGACCTGGTCTAAACGCTTAACGACATCATCTGTGATCAAAACTAATATGATATTCGTGATCAGCACCCCGGAAAACTTCTTAGTAGCCACGCTTTACGACTTTCTAACAGGTCCCGATATTCCCGATTTTTGGGTCATTGACCTGACCTGGAAGGTCAACCGATGACCTAGGAGCTTAAAATTGGGTGTCATTGGCTTCCTCTCGTGATGGGCAACACGCTCGTTTTTTTCCGCGAAGCTCTAGCTCCATCAGGGGCCAAACGCGAGGGGGGGGGGGTCGTACCCCCCCCCCCCTTGTGCCGTCGAAGGACTCAAAATGGCCTGTGCCGGCGAGGGTTAAAGCATAGATAGCATAGGAATCATCAGCATATGATTTGTTTACTCCTTGGAAAAAGGTGTAAGGCTTAACAGTTCACTTGTTACATACTTCTGTTAGTTTTCATCCATGCCTACTGATGCTGAAATAGGTATCTGACCTTATTGGAGTGGAGCCCAACCTTCGAGGATAATATTGTTCTTGCCATGGGTCAAAGTTAGTTCGTCTCTGCTCTTAGCAGCATCATTGTTCACTTTACTTCAGGTGCAGGGTATAGGCAGTTGGCCATCCAGTTAGTGTCCTAAAATAATGATTGTCATTGCAAATCTCTCCACAATATCATTGAACAGGTGTCTGTGAATTGCTTTTGAGCCAGGCTGTTGAGTGGTAAGTTCAGACTGTACCAGGAAGTGAAGTGTACCTGGTAACTAACCATAATCCAGCTAAGTGAAAATGGCAAAGTTTAGTATAAAATGTAGGTATTCTACTCGCCAATCAATTCAGTATATAAAGCTTGAATTGGCATTTTGTTCATTCACGAGCAGCGGGTTGGAAGTAACTATGCATGGAAGCTTAGGTACTTGTAAAACTCGTAAAAAGAAAAAAGGGTCAAATATGGAAAGATAATATTGGACACTTACAACAGCCAATGGACTGGGGGGGATGCATTCTTATTTAGTTTCATTTGTTGTTGTCATCGATGTCTGACTGGCCCCTCTCCCCCAGCCGAGCCGGTCTGCCAGTGCCGCCATGTCGCTGCGCTCCTGGGTGGACGACCAGCTGCACGAGGTGCTCGGCCTCTCGGACAAGTACGTCAGCCAGTTCCTAATCGAGCTGGCGCAGCGCAGCGCCTCCGGCGACCAGCTGATCGACAAAATCCGCGACACGGGCACCATCGACGTTGACGCGCGCGTGGAGGCGTTCGCGCGCCAGCTGCACGGCCGCGTGCCGCGCGCCGCCGCCGGCACTGCCAAGCCGCAGCGCGCGCGCGAGGCGGCGCTGGCCGACGTGTACCGCCGCAATCAGCAGTACCGGCTGCTCTCCGACGACGACGATGAGCCGGCACCGGCGGCCGCCCAGAAGGCAGACAAGAAGAGGAAGCACATCAGGTCTGTGGGGTCGAATGGTTCGTCAGCTCATTATGCCTGTTCTGAATTTATCTTGTCTTAAGTTGAAATGTGCGCTCCTTGTATATATTGCGAATGTAAGTTGTCATCAGTCAATTGTCACGCATGAAAATCAGTCGATATTCATTTTCATGCTGCAATTTTTAATTGTACTGTCCCCTCATTTGACACGCACACGGCTGTTGTCATTGACAGGAAACGTAAGCAGTCGTCGAGCTCCGAGTCAGCCGATGAGCGGCCTCGCGGCGGCGTCAGTGTTGCGACGCCAGGCGGCGCCACCAGCTCCGAGGACGAGCTAGAGGCCGAGGAACGGGCCCGGCTGAACGACCTCAAGGAGCGGGACGCCCTCACCGAGCGGATCAAAAAGCGCGACCAGGAGAAAACGAGGAAGGTCGCGGAAAAGTCCGGTAAGATGATCGTTACAGGGCCTGCAAACTGTATGAAGGATGACTTCGGAGTGCGTGGACTGGGCCTGTTGTTTCTTTCACCGCGTTGAAAGCTGAGGCTGCTGCTATTTTGTGTCCGCGTGCTATTAGTTTCAAAGCAAGGGTTCCAGCGGCCAGTAGTTCTGATGGGATGAATGTCCTCACACTCGTTCCAACTCAGTGGTGTGGGGTGTGCTCGGTTTGAGTCTGGCAGCGGGGTCGCTCTGACAGCGGACAGCTGTCGGTCTAATAGCTGTGGACATTCAGACTATACTCAAGCTGCTGGTCGCCAGAGCACTTATTATTTTGCGTGGGCTTTTTATTTTAACTTACAATATTGCGATGCGCTAAACCTGCGTAAGTTAGTGCTGGATAAAAAATAGATACATATTGCACATCGTAGTTTGATATTGGTTTATCCCCTGGAAATTGTTGGCAAGCTATGTTATAGGCTTTCTGGAATCATTAAATTATTTCAAGATTTTCTGTCCAAAAGAGTACAAGCTGTTTCATGCCACGATATTTTAGTGAAATTGACGTGCGCCACCGTTAAATTGCCAGCATTGGTGGTGATGCATCTAAAATGCGAATTGGGGCTCACTGATATTCTATCACATGGTGGAAACTAGCGTAATTTTATGTTAACTTCGCCCCGATGGAGACCAGTTTAGTTCATTATTCTGAAGCGAAATTATCGACCGTACGCTCTATGATTACCGTTGCGACTGAAGCACAAAGAGCTCAATGTATAATCCTATTACAGACCACGCCTCAGTGGGTACCGCTGTAGTCGAGGCTAAGTGTCTGTTATTTCCGCGGAGCCCTGAGTTGCCCCGTCGCCTGACGCCCCTCCCCCCACCCCCGCAGACCGGCGCGGGTTCGAGGAGGCCGCCAAACGTCTGAAGCTGGAGTCGGAGGACCGCGCGGCGGCCGTGCCCCGTTTGCGGCTCGAGGCGCGTCGCAAGTACCTCTCCAAGCGTAAGGAGGACAAGCTGGCCGAGCTCGAGGCGGACATCGCCGACGACGAGTATCTCTTCGAGGAGTCGACACTGACCGAGCGCGAGAAACGTGAGAGAGATTACAAGAAGCGCGTGCTGTCGCTGGCCAAAGAACATGAGAAGGCGCGCGACCTGGAGCGCGTGCAGCGGTACCACATGCCCGAGGACATGAAGGAGGAGCCCACCAAGAAGTACACGGAGACGGACGCACGTGAGAAAGCGCCCAACTCGGAGCAGCGCAAGTGGGAAGAGGAGAAGCTGGAGGCCGCGCAGTACCGGGTCGGCGCGCGAGACGCGCGCGCCCGCGAGCCCGAAAATAAGTACGATCTGGTGCTGGACGACACTGTCGAGTTTGTGCAGGCCATGAAGATGCCGGGCACGTTGGAGAGCAGTTCCGGCAGCGAGGACGACGGAGATGGCAAGAAAAAGAAGAAGAAAAAGAAAAAGAAGAGTAAAGAAAAGAAGGCCGACGGTCCGGTGAGCGCGCGTCTGGAGGGTGACGCCGAGCGGGTGCTCTCGGCGCGTGAGAAAAAGGCCAAGGAGATCGAGGAATGTCAGCGCAGCCTGCCAGTGTTCCCGTTCAAAGAGGACCTGATCCAGGCGATCCGCGACCACCAGGTGCTCATCATTGAGGGCGAGACGGGCAGCGGCAAGACCACACAGATCCCGCAGTTCCTCTACCACAGCGGCTTCTGCGACAACGACATGAAGATCGGCTGCACCCAGCCGCGCCGGGTGGCAGCCATGTCCGTGGCTGCCCGTGTCGCCGAGGAACTCGCCGTCAAACTCGGCAACGAGGTCGGCTACAGCATTCGCTTCGAGGACTGCACGTCGGAGCGGACCCGGATCAAGTACATGACGGACGGCATGCTGCTGCGAGAGTTCCTCTCCGAGCCTGACCTGGGATCCTACAGCGTGATGATCATCGACGAGGCCCACGAGCGCACCCTGCACACAGACGTGCTCTTTGGACTCGTCAAGGACATCGCCCGTTTCCGCAAGGACCTGAAGCTGCTCATATCGTCGGCCACGCTGGATGCCGAGAAATTCGCCGACTTTTTCGACGGCGCTCCGATTTTCCGGATTCCGGGCCGTCGCTACCCCGTAGACATTTACTACACGAAGGCGCCCGAGGCCGACTACATTGACGCGTGCGTGGTGACGGTGCTACAGATCCATGTGACGCAGCCCTTGGGCGACATCCTGGTGTTCCTCACTGGCCAGGAGGAGATCGAGACGTGCCAGGAGTTGCTGCTGGAGCGCACCCGCCGGCTGGGCTCCAAGATCAAGGAGCTCATCATCCTGCCCATTTACGCCAACCTGCCCTCCGAGATGCAGGCCAAGATCTTCGAGCCGACGCCGCCTGGCGCGCGCAAGGTGATCCTAGCCACCAACATCGCCGAGACGTCGCTGACCATCGACGGCATCATCTACGTCATCGACCCGGGTTTCGCCAAGCAGAACAGCTACAACGCCCGCACCGGCATGGAGTCGCTGATCGTGACACCCGTCTCGAAGGCGTCGGCCAACCAGCGGGCCGGCCGCGCCGGACGCGTCGCCGCTGGGAAGTGTTTCCGTCTGTACACGGCCTGGTCGTACGCGCACGAGCTGGAGGACAACGCCGTGCCCGAGATCCAGCGCGTCAACCTGGGCAGCGTCGTGCTGCTGCTCAAGTCGCTGGGCATCGACGACCTATTGAGTTTCGACTTCCTGGATCCGCCGCCGCAGGAGACGCTGATGCTGGCGCTGGAGCAGCTGTACGCTCTGGGCGCGCTCAACCACCGGGGCGAGCTGACCACGCTCGGCCGACGCATGTCCGAGCTGCCCGTCGACCCGCAGCTCTCCAAGATGATCATCGCCTCGGAGAAGTACCACTGCTCCGAGGAGGTGGTCACCATTGCCGCCATGCTCTCCGTCAACAACTCGGTCTTCTACCGGCCCAAGGACAAGGCCGTGCATGCCGACACGGCCAGGAAGAACTTTTTCGTGCCGGGCGGCGACCACCTGGTGCTGCTGAACGTGTACGAACAATGGGCCGAGACCGACTTCAGCACGCAGTGGTGCTATGAGAACTTCATCCAGTACCGGTGAGTGGCGCCATGGCTTCAGTTTTTAGGGGGGAGGGGTCGCGCTCTTTTGGTCTAACAAGGTGGCCGAAGAACGGTGGAAGATTAGGAATTTGAGGCTGGGGTATTGGTTTCAGCAGCCACCATGCTGCGCCGCTGCTGCGCCAACCCTGAAGGGCAGGTCACCCAGCCAGCCCTATATCCTCCCATCGCACCGCCTGTGCTGTGAGAGCGGCTCAGTTGGGATAATGGTGACCGTCGCTCGTAACAGGGGGTTTGGGTTTTGAAAATGATAGGCGAGAGAGATCGCAGAGAAGGCGGCGTCGCTCCTTTCTACCGGGCCGGGGCCGGGGCTCTTAAGGCCATAGCTTGCAGCTGTGGAAATACTTCGTACTTTCTCTTGCTAACCAAAGTATATGGTTACGTATGTTTCGTTTTTTTTTTTTTGGCTATGTAGGAAAGGTTTCCGTTTCTTTTTGTTTCTTAGTGTCATTTAATCTTTTTTATTGCAAGGGTTAAGTGCAATAAAAATATTCCGATACGCTTTGCTGTTCTAAGATCTTTTTTCATCAAAAACCTGCCTGATTAAATTAGTTGTAAATTGTACTCTTGTTGCTCCCGGATACTGGTTTTATTGCATAGTTGTGGTGCTCCATCGCTGGATCGGAATGTTCGGTATTTATCATTAATGACAGTGTTGCCACTTGCCAGTCTGACGGAACAAGGGCAGGTAAGTATCCATGGACGCTGTTTTTTTCTCTTAGCAGATGCTGTGTGGTAGGTACTTGCCGCCAGTTGTCGCGCTAAATTACTTGCATTGTGTTCATTATCAATACTTTTTTTTTTACTGCGTTGCGAGCTGCAATACGTTAACAATGACTGAAGTCTAGACGTCATCACTGACTATGAATATTTCCTCATGCTGTAGCTGAGTATTGATCTTATGGAACTGAGCAAAAACGATGAATGTCTCTGATCCGATTGTCACATCGCTACTGCCTCTGCCGTTCACCGCTCACTGGGGACCCGAATGAGCTGGGTAAGAGCTGGGATGGGGAGGATGGAATCTCGCGTCCTCTTAATATACCCTTGAGAGGAAGTGAAACTATGCCTCATCCACACACATTAGGTTGGGGATGCATCGCGCCCAATCATTGGGCTATAGGCGGGTAAAGGCAGGACCGATCCCTCATCTGGATTACAATATATGAACAAAATTAGTGCACTCCTTCAGGCGCAGGTCGCGAACAGAGCCATTACCCATCACAAAGCATCCACTGCCCTCTGGAAGGCTGGAAATGTTGCGGCCATATCAGTCTGCAGCGTCCTGTGCCGTTGCGCAGTTTGTGACTGACCGCATTTTGTATCAGGGGTTTGTGCTTCCTGTGCGGCCTGAGGGGACGCGACACGGCTGCGTTTGCGGGTAACACTTTGAGGCAGTACGGACAGCAACATGCGAGTGCTCGCAATCGATGAATGTTTCGATGCCAACAATCGTATGTGCACTGATTTTGCACCGGGTTTCATTTTCAGCGAGCGGCCAACGGGAACATTAACCAAAGTTCGTTGGCTAGGCGAGGCAACTGCTGCTTCTCTGCCGCGAAGCGTAGTTTAATTCCTAGCCTTTGTTTCTGGGAGGGCATCATGTGAATGCCTGTTCAAATTATAAACTAAACTCGATTACGGGGGAAATATGTGACTGCTGCTGCATTGATGTTTCAGTCGATCTGCACGAGTTAACACTTTCGGACTCAATGGAATCAAAGCTGCTCCCGTTACAATTAGGAGCATTATAGAAATGCGCAGTTTGGGCGTGGGCTGACCATGGTGGCATGGTCCTTGCCTATTTCCAATCGTGTATAGTTATGTTCTGCGACCAAGCTTGTCTGATCTATCCAGTGAAACAGTAACGTCTTAAATTCAGTACCTACCTCGACATGCCGCGATATCGATTCATGGAAGCCATTCAGGTTTCGCGGAGCTTGCAAATGTAAATCGTGTCTGCGGACTCCGTCTCGGTGCGATAAAGCCCGCACCTCAGAGTCTCGCGGTCTGATGGTGTAGTGACGTATCGAACGTCTGACCTCAATCGTTGGTCCAACTGGACTGGTTTTACGGTGGGATAAACGTGTTTGTTTCGGAGTTTGACCGCTGTTGCTTCAGTCACTGAATGGTCAGGTAGCATGTGGTGAATTAACTCTGGTTTGAGTCCTTTCACAGACTCTGGAAAACCAACTTAAGTCTTAGACCTTAGACCACCTCTTCCCCGGCGATGGTGTTATTCCGTTGTTGAATATGTTATGGATAGTTCATACTAAAGCTCTCTGGGCCGAATACGGCCTACCGCTGCATTAAGTACCGTCTTTGATTCATGATCCCGATCCCGCACCAGCACTGGCCCTGTCCTTTTCCCGTTCAGTGCTAATTGTGTCTCTCTGCTACTCCTTGTGCTGTCCTATTGCGTGCCCGCCCACGCCCTAGTTGTTCCCACTCCCACTCTAGCTGCGGCTGTACACATTACTGACCGACGGTTCACCTACGTCCCCCAGGTCGATGAAGCGCGCGCGTGACGTGCGGGACCAGCTGGCCAGCATGCTGGAGAGGATCGAGGTGCCGCTCGTCTCGGCCAACAAGGACGACAATACGGCCATCCGCAAGGCGATCACGGCCGGCTTCTTCTACCACACGGCTCGGCTGACCAAGGCCGGCGGCTACCAGACGGTGAAGCAGTCGCAGACGGTGCACATCCACCCCAACTCGTGTCTGTTCGAGGACCTGCCGCGCTGGGTCATCTACTTTGAGCTGGTGTTCACCACCAAGGAGTTCATGCGGCAAATCGTGGAGATCGAGAGCGTCTGGCTGCGCGAGGTGGCGCCGCACTACTACAAAGGGAAGGAGCTGGACGACTCCACCAACAAGAAGATGCCCAAGGGAAGGGGCAAGTCGAAGGTGGAGCTCGAGCGGTGACGAGGGATGGACAGGGACCATACGGGGAAGGGATTGGGAGGGAGGGATGGGATCATCGCCATCTGTATACTATCACGTGTTATTGTCATTGTGATCTGTTATTACTGAGTGTGTTGGTTGAATACAAACGCAAATCATATCCAAGGCATTTATTGTCGAAAGCGTGGGAGGGAGGGAAGTGGGAGAGGCATAGAATGTGTGAATCAGAGAGTCATTATTGTCAACCTTAGGTATATTTCAAAATACCTGTCGCCAGATATCGATGCTCTGCTGCGCAATGTCAGCCCATCATCGCCAACGCAGAGCCATCCATACTCATAAGGATAAAGTGAAAATGTGGCAGAAGTTCGCACATCGCTCTGTTGTGAAGCGGAACTGATTTCAGTTCTAAGGGAGTTAAGGTAGTATGGCTACTTGCCGGTGTTCGTTGAAGTGATGGTTAACTTCTCCATCCCTTGACGCGCATCCGGGCGCAATGAAATCTGACGCTGGTGCACAGGCCGACTGTCACCGAGCTGTGGTGTTAGGACGAGCAGGAGTGGGCTCGACGATGATTGTTGGCTCGCCGGGGGTCGACCGTGTGCAGCTGCGGCCGATCTTGCTCTGAACTGGAAGCTAAATAATGCAGAACACGTGTCTGCCGCTACAGTTGTGACAATGCTGGCTTAACAGTTAACAGTTAACACCTGGGCCTGAAGTTTCATGCTCAGTTGCAGTAACGGCGATGCAGCACAGCCTTGCTAGTGGAGAAAGCACCGGTGGCGCGCTGCCCACTCCAGAGGTTCAACGTCATGATAACGAGAAAGCTCCCGCGATCTCCGCGCCGCACCGGACTGCGCCAGTTTTGCCGGCTGTCCTAGATTTTGATTACGGCGGCAGGGTGCAGGCTTCCCTGTTACAAGAGTTCCTCTGCTCGTCCGTGTTCCAGGGTCCTCCTTCAGTTTCGTTCAGCACTCTCTGGAAATCGCATTGGAACATTGGTCTGAAGAAGTCGCCGATGCTGGACTGACACCCACCGGACGAACCGGCGCTCTGCCACGCCGACTGGACGTACACAGAGTGCGGGTGGTGGTCTCCCCTCTCGCACTCCTTGTGTATGTCGAATGTCAGCTCCTTGACGTTGACGGTCGTGTTGTCATCGAACTCGAGCGATCCCGGGTCGGCTCGCTCCACCCGCAGCACGGTGATGTTGAGCGCCGGCCGCCGGCCGGTGCCACGGTCGCCCGCCGCACGGAGACCTCGCAGCCCACCGGGGTGCAGACGGGACGAGACCCGCAGGTCGCGCACCGAGAGGCCTCTACTGGCGTTCACCCAGAGCGAGTCCGGCCACAGGTCGCCGATGTCAGTCTGCCTGAGCGAGAGCCGCGACACGTTCAGCTGCACGCCACCGGTGTCGATGGCCAATACCTTGCAGTCGAGAAAGGTCAGCTCGTCCACGGCCCCGGTGATGGCGTCTGCGCTGACCCGGCCCAGCCGGCTGTGCCTCAGTGAGAGCTCCTTGGCGCCCGGTAGCACATGCAGACACCCGGAGCGCAGCGTGCGCACCTCGGCCGAGATCAGCCGCAGGCGGCCGACGCGGCCGGCCAGCGCGCCGCGTGCGCACTCGGCGACGGTGACGTTGCGCAGGGTGAGTTCGTCGACTGTGGCCTGGATGGCGCCCTTAGCCAGCACCAGTTCGGTGATGTTCTCCAGGAGAAGTCGGCGCACGACGGTGGTGGCCGCCAGCGCGCTACCGTCCACCCGGCACCTGGCCACGTTGGTGATCTGCACCACCGAGTCGGTGCCTCTCCAGCCGTCCAGCGCGTGCGGGTGCAGTTCGACCTTCAACACCCGGTCGATGGTTAGGTTGCCGCTGGTGCCGACCGGCGACGGCACGGTTGGTGTTTGATCTCTACCCAGGAAGATGGCAGTGTCCAGGTCTTTCAAAAGAACGTCTTGCTTTCCGTCCAAAGCGTTGTGTTCCACCTTCACACCATATGAGCCATTTGTGAAGTGCAGTACTTGATAGCTCGAAGACGTCTTATCCTTGGGTACGTCCATAACCTGTAGAGTACATGTCAAGGATCGTGTGAGATCATGCAATCTCTTTGACAATCGAACGTCTCAATAGATAAGCAGGTACATATCAATGCTCGAAATTAATCCCACCCGGCACCCATAAGCAAAATGCATCATCCTAACGGTATGTGCAGGGTGTCCAGAAATTATTTGCCCCTTGTTTATTCAGCTATAATCCCCAGTGGCGCGGGAACTTCTTCCAGACTTGGGGGGGGGGGGGGGCTGAACCATAAAAGAGATCAACCTAGGGTACCCCCAAATCTAGTTTTCTCACCGGTTTTAGGCCACTTATTTTTCCGAATCCAGACCTTGGCCTTTCAACAACAACAAAAAAAAAAACGAAAATATTTGCACAAGTCAGGTATTCCGTCTCAGCTGAGTGAAGAAACTACCGTTTTGGCCACCTGGAATTAAGTTTTTAATCTGCCAAGTGAGTTGCCGAGCCAGTAAAGGGGTGGATTTTTCACTTACTGCTTTCTTCCTTGGCCGATCACTTTCGAGAATGCGGCATCGGCTCTCGGGACATCAAGCGAGTTGATATCCTGTCTGAACCTCCTTGGAGGTCAGCTGCTCCCTCTGTGGATCTTACACTGTCGGGCACATGTCCATCAAGACAGCCCATATTTAGTCCAGATTCAGCCCGGATTCAGCCCAGATTCGGGACGCCTTCGATCAAGCTGAAACTCGCACACCATGTAGGTCCTGACATGCCCAATCCACAGTCCGAGTCATTCGAGGACACTCCCAGCCGTTTGACCTACAGAGGTCAGCAAAGGTCACGTGGCCAAAATTTGCACAGCAGATTGTGGCCTACCGAGTAGGTAGAGCTAGAGCGCTAAAATGGCACCAATCGACTCGCAAGCATCTAATCTTACTTTCTCAATACCCATTTGACCTCTCAAGGTCATGCGATGACCTAAGATCATTTGTGGGCTATGTCGAAAATACACTTGCACAGCAGTTCTCGAGTAGAGGGATTGACCGAATTCCAAATCAAAGCACATCATCGGGTAGTTCATAGGCCGTAGTAACTTTCCTTAGAAACCGCCTCTCGATATGTGACCCCGTTTGACCTCAGCAGGGCAAAATGTACAAATAAACGACACTCCATACGTCGCAGCCCGGATTCAGCCCGGATTCGGGACACCTCCGATCAAGCTGAAACTCGCACAAAATGTAGTTCCCATAGTTCCCATACCCGCTCTGGGATGCCAGAGCGGATGAAATAATGGGTATGACGGGGCGGGGGATACTATCGCGAAATAAACCATGACCCAGGGGCTCTTTGTTTATTAACTAGGCGGCGAGCTGATGGAGGGACAAATAATTTCCTGGCACCCTTTATGTTACAGCAAAATATCGCAATTGTGAATTCACCTTCTTGTGCATGCTAAGGTCGCACTCGATGCCGTTTTGAGAACCCCGTCGGAAACGACAGCAGCCATTAGGTGTGTTACATCTTAAGCTGTGAGCCCCAGCCCACAGCAGAGCCAGCAGCGCTGCCCGCAGCGGCAGCTCGAGCATGGTTGCCGCGCTGCAGAAGATCTGGGACGACCGCGCGCCGGCCGGGGTCCCTTCACTCTTCTAGAGTCTAGAGCACAACACGTGAATGGCTCGGAGTGTTACCAAACCGTGACTTCGGGATGTTCTACGACTGCAGTAACACTGAGACACTGAGACGCCGCGGCTTTGGAGCGTTCTACAGCAGCACAGTGACACTGATACACTCCGATTCTGGCACGTTATACGCTCGCAGTAACACTGCACTGATTCAGGAGCGACTGTGAGCTACTGCCGGGATACCACGAGCGACCACATTTATCGACAGTGTCGGATAGAGGCGACCACCGGAAGTTGGTCCGTCCGTCCCGGCGCCCCCTGCGGCCGACAGTGGGCGCCATCCGGCTTCCGGTCGACGAAACAGCATATATATGTGGAGCGAATTGCGGTGTTGAGTCACACTTGATAAACCGTGCCTTCTGCGCGGCCCTTTGTGATGCTGTGCGGCCTGTGCAAATGATGCTCATCACCCTGAAACTGTGTAATGTGAGTGGATCATGCGTCTTGCTGTGCTCCAAAACGGCTGTCCGTATTCCGTAATTTGTAGAGAGCTGCAGGCAGGTTCTGGTGAATATGGATATGGTATGGATATCCTTATTCCACATGGCAGACGTTGATGTTCAAAGCTGCACCAGTACTCTGACCACTAGCCAGTTGTGGCGACAGATCCTCCTATAGTGTTTTGTTTTTAGTCGGGACATAAGCATTAAGCACAAACACGTTGAGTGAGTAGCCCGATATTTTCTGCCGTCTGTCGGCCATAGTGAGTGTTAGTTTGTCGCGCATTTCCGGTCACCGTCCCGACCGTTCGCCGCCTTGGCGGACGGACGCACAGGCCAGCTTTCCGTAAAGGCCTGGCTACACTATGCGTTTTCTGCGTGCATTTTTTGCGGGTTTGCGTTCTTTGCGTAATATCATTCTAGAAAAAAGTTCTAAATGATATAACTTTTAAATTAGTTAAATGCAAAAGTTAATATAACTCTTATATTAACTAAAATTGAATATAAAAAACATCACAAAAACGTAATAGGTAGGGTAACTGTGGGGAAAACGCACCCCTGGGTTAAACGCCTACCCTAAAAAATCGTATTTTTTATCGACGGATAGGTGTTTTATCCTGTCTTTCAGAGCAGTCAGCTCCTTGTTTACGTAGGTCTCTATTTCCGGTTCTGCGTCTTGAGGAGCAGCGTGGGTAGGTGCTGATGTTGGTTTTGGGTGTTGTTTTTGTTGTTTTTACAGAAGATTCCTAATATTTTGGTGCCCTCTTTATATCACAAAACTTGCTATTGTGCACAAACTGCACATCACTCAAGACTGCGTTTTATTGTCATTCTGTTGAATTTATTATGCTGCGGCGTTAGTGGCGCGTTTTTTGTCAATATTTTGTTGACCGGAAATGGAGTGGATGGGGAAAGACGCCTACTCGATGCATGGGGCAAGACGCCCCCAGTTTTCTGAAAGGGGGCGTTTTGCACGGTGGTGAGAGTGCAGGGAAGCGCCCTGCAGGTCGGGGCCGAAAAGGCCTCTCCCTGTCCTTTTTTTTGCTGATATGTCCTAAACGACTGCAGATATCGTCACCAAACTTTCAGGACTCCTCCGGGCATCCATTTTACACATTGCAACACAATTTTATTCCAAAGGCTATGATAGGTTGACCACAAATGAGTCAAGTTCTGCCATGTTCATCATATTCTGTTGATGGATGGGGTGGGGGCGCTTTGCACATGGGTGTGGGCGTATTACCCAGGGTGTGAGGCAAAACGCCCTTTTGTAAGGGTATGCGAAAACCTTTTTGGGGGGTTGAATACCACACGCAGGTGTCTTTTCTTGGTCTCAAAGCGTAGTAAAAAGAATGAGCTACATGATGGTGCCCAAAGGTTTGAGTAATCTGTGTTAGGTTGAGTGACAGAAGGTTTCGCGCGGGGGGCGTTTTTGACCTATTCCCCCTACCTATCGTTTATTTTTCTCGCACGACATTACGCAAAACCTGCAAACCCGCAAAAAACGCACGCAGAAAGCGCATAGTGTAGCCAGGCCTTAACCCGCGACCTGGTGGGGGGGGGGGCTATTTTTTGCCCCCCCTCCAGACTTTTCGATATATCTCCAGAACCACTGCGCCGATCGTCACCAAACTTTCAGTACCCTCCCGGACATCAATTTTACACATTGTGACCAAAATTTTTTCCAAAGGCTATGATAGGTTGGCCGGAAATGACGTCAGAGTGACGTCATGTTCTGCCGTTTTCGACCCAAAAAAGGGTTTCGCGGGAAGAGCTGTCAGGCCCATAGCTTTGCAAATACAAAAAAAATGATAAAGACATAAAAGCTGTAGATTGGACAGGGCTACAAAACTGCTATCTCGGATTTTTGAAATTTTTGGATTTTGACCCTCAAAAATCAAAAATAGATTTTTTGGATATAATAATCGAAAAATCCAAAAAGTTTTTTGAATTTCGCAAAAACCGGAATATATGTGATAGTCCTTACCGCCTTCCATCCACATACCAAATTTGAGATTGATACCTCTTTTTTTTGGCGAAGTTATAGCGAATAAACTGTTCAAAATTGATGACTTCAAATTTTCAAACTCAATTTTTAGCAATTCTAGACCCCGTAGCGCAAAACAAAGACCACCATTAGACTCCCCGTGACGAGGTGCATCGAATCAATACCCATTTTATGCAAAACTATCAACTTTAAAATTTGACCTTTTTTGGCCTGACCTTGACCTGACCTTGACCTGAACTTCACCAGAAAGTGACCTAAGCCGTACCTGATAGTCGTATAACCAACACCATTGAGTTGGAAATGAAAAATTGGCCATAAAACATGTATCACACAACCTTAGTAAACTTGGGCTCATGTGACCTGACCTGTGACCCTTGGTGACCTGACCTGTGACCTGACCTGGTATTGCCAGTGACCTCTAATAGCAACATATCTACTAGGCAACTGACGCCCTACCGCTGATTCTCGACAAAATACGTTTTCCTCGGTGTTATATTGCATTCCCTAGAAGACCCGTGAACGGTGAAACATTTCATTTTTGACCTGACCTGTGACGTCATCGGTGACCCCGAGGTCAATGAAATTTGGTTTCCTTCGACAAATTTGACAGTCCTTTCGAACGCCGTTTGAATTTTGCGGATCCGTCCAGTAGTTTCGGAGATACGAGTGGGGGGGGGGGAAATAGCCCCCCCCCCCACCAGGTCGCGTTATAAACAGACCCCACCAGGGCGCGGGTTAACACGCGCAGTGGAAGGGGGGGGGGCGGATTTCGCCCACCCCTCCTGTTTTTCGCCAATAACTCGCGCCGCTAACATGATATTAAAGGTAGTGTGCCAGCTTTCTTGGACCGTATGGAGTTAATGGCCCAGATAAGGAGAACCGGATTTTTAGAACTTATCCATACCTTCAAAACTCATGGAAACGTCTTAAATTCTTCAAATTTTGAGTACCCCAGTGCGAAATTCGCCCCGACGGGTTGTCGGTCGTACCCCAACCACATTTCACACCACTATGAACAATAAATGCACACACTGAAATCGCTATTACCGATATGCTCATCCAATCAAGTTTCGATAAACCCGTTCATCATCATCTCCTGCGGTTTCGAACACGCCTGTTAGGTGGCTTCTGATGCTCGTCGAGGTCGGAATTTCCAAATACGCGTGATGCGTCGGGCCGCGCGCTCTGACTTCGGCCAAGAAAAATGCGTCAGCTGATCATTGTCATTTCTGCCACTTGCGTGTGGTGAAATGGGGTCATAACTTATAAGACGGCTTTTTCATATCAATTATTTTACATAAAATCATATCAAATCAAATCAAATCATAAATCAAACCATAAATAATGTTCGACAGCCAAATAAAAGAAACAATACCAATACGGGCTTACAGTTTAAGGCTCGACATTGTGTTGTCTACGATTAAACAGCTGATAACTCATTCCCGTACGTCGTATGGTCGTTACACTATAATGACCTTTGCTTATTGTCACAAGTGCGCCGCATTCGCGATTGTTGCCCGACGCCTGTTTGCAGGTGAGCCCACTACAGTTGTTATACATATCTAAAAACCGAAAAACTTTTAGGCGAAAAAGGCACTATTCCAGGCCCATTTTTGATTTTTTTTTTTTGCGATATTAGGTAAAAACAGAAGCTTCTTATCCTAGGAAAAATAAAATGGGAAATCTTTCAAAGGTGGCACACTACCTTTAATGTGAAATTTTGCCTACCTGTCCAGAATTGAACTGCGGATCTTCTCGTGCAAGAAATAAAAAAATCGGGTCACAACTTTTCTAGTAATAATAGCGGTGTAAAGTCAAACATCCTGCCGCCGCGGCGGCGCGGCGGCGCGGCGGCCGGCGCTAGCCGTTACGCGCCGCCTGAATTGTAGACTGTGCCGGGGCGGGACAGTTCGGTCTTTACATCGCGCTCCTTACCGCTGATTATATTCGATTCGCGTCAATTGTTGTGAGAAGACTAAGAAATGTACAGGCAATCTTATGGTCAAAGAATTTTGAAAATCGGCCGGTAACAACTTGAGTTATGAGTGTGTAAACACAAAATTGTGATTGCCGCGTTTCCCGCGTCCGCCGATCCCGCTTCAGCCGGCGACATCTTACGCTTAGCAGGCTTCTAACTGCCATATTTATCGTTGGATTAACAAGAAATTCACAATACATACTCACAAATGTATGTTCTTTCGTATAGTGAAAGAAAAAAGAAAATTGGCCGGTAACTCTTTGAGTTATCGGCGTATAAACGCAAAAAAGTCGCTAATATGGCAGATTTGACCACTTTTGACCTCATTTGACCTTGAAGATATTGACCTAGGGTCATGAAATTCACACACAATAGAGTTCCCCTAGGCCCCCACCTACCCTCCAAATTCCGTCTTTCTAGCTCTAGTGGAAGCTGAGATCTTAGTAGGGGGGGCGACCTCCGCCCCCCCTCCACTGGGCGTAGTACTCGCAACCCTTCCACTGCGCGTGTTAACCCTCGCCCGCACATGCCATTTTCCCATCCTAGAACGCACATGGGGGAGGGGGGGTGGTTGCCACCCCCCGCGCCATTTCGTTCCTGTTGGAGATAGAGCTTAGCAGTAAAGACCAAAAAGATTCTTTGGGAAGAGACGAATCCAATGATACCCAGTTTTACTTTTTCAGGTCAGTCATTGACCTTCCAGGTCAGGTCAAACTAAAAAATGTTGCTGTTTTGGGTCACCGTTGGATATCAAGTGCGCTGCTTATCAAATACCGATGACGATGCTGTTTTCTGGTGCCAAGCCAGCTAGAACCTCTTTGTCACACTATCCGACCAGAATTTTGC